TTGACTTTAACATATTTAGGCTTTCAGTATAGGCCTACAGCAAACAGCTGTCAAAATTGACCAGAAACAATACATTTTATTCTGTCACTAATTGATATATATATTCATCACAATGGAAAATATTTTTGTTTTTAGAATATTTATTAGTGATGCATGCAATGATTACAGAATAACAAAAAAAAAAAATGCAAAGAATGGCAATCGCTGATTTTTGAAATCTCTTTCAACAATTGCAAAAAGAGACTGAAAGGGCAGAAGCACAGCTTCATCTGGCAGAGAAACAACTGACTCCAACCAAACTGCAGCAAACCAAGGCCAATGACTTGAGATTCGCCTCCTAAAGGCTACGCTCAGACAAGCTGCTCTCTCCACATCAGATGAGAAAGTCTGAAGTTATTATGGAGTTTTTGACATTAAGTATTTTTTTTTTATTTAAATCTATATTTAAAACTCATTATAAATATCCTCAATGTACAGTGTTGTAGGTCTCAGATGAGTGGACTGCTGTAAGAGAACGGGGTGGGGTTTTTCTTGTTTTTATTATTTATTATTATTTTAATAATTATTAAATTTTCTTAGTTTTCATTTCAAATAAAAATAAAGTTATATTGGCCCCACGCTGGCTATTCTACTTGTCGCTCTTTACATATCTATAGTTCTACATTGTGATGTCCTATCCTGTTTGAGCACTGGTTATCCAGATTTAGTGATCCTGAAAAGTTCCTATCCGGATCAGATTGATCCAATCCGATGTTGCTTTAAAAAACTGGCTCAAAAAGTAAGCTGGATTACGTGATCATGGATCGCAAAAAAGGGATTACTAAATCCGGATCAATTTTATCCGGATTAAACCTTTTGAAAAACCGGGCCCTGAAGATGAACTAAATTCCAAGAACAAAATTCTTGACAATACTCCTGTTTCTCCACCAGGGGTCCTCAGCAAACTTGCAATTATTTTAAGGGTTAGTTCACTCAAATAAAAAATTGTTGTCATCATATACTCACCCTTTACTTGTTTCAGACATTTATGAGTTACTTTCCTCTGGTAAGCACAAAAGAAGATATGTTGAAAAACACCAGAAACCTGTAACCATTGACTTCCATTTGTTTGTGCCTACATGGATGTCAGTGGTTACAGATTTTCAGCTTTCTTCAAAATATATTTTGTGTTCAACAGAAGAGAAAACTAGAACCACTTAAGGGTGAGTAAATGATCAGTTTTGGTTGAACTTTCTCATGTCTTTCATATGATCATAACCCTAATTCAAATGCTCAAAATCAAAAGCAGAGAGTAACCATTTTTATTAAAATTAATAAATGTTGTTTTTACTTGTACATAAAACATACCAGGTAGTCACCTTTATTAGTGTTTTAAATGTAGATTATATGGATGAACGAGAAAATAATAAAATATATGGTAAAATCACATCATCGTGGGACATATTCAACATATCAGGCATCAAATATAGGATGCTGGTGTAGTTCTAGTTAGTTCATAAGGTCACACATTTTTTTGATGGTCTGTTTGTTGAATTTAAGTTACATTACATCTACATGCCAACTAATTCTCATTAGATTATAAGTAGACTGTTAGGTTCGGGTTAGTGTAAGTTGACATGTACTTGCAAAGTTTTGTTATAGTCAGTTAAATGTCTGTTTATCAACAGATATTAAGCAGTCATACTCAAATGAACCATCAAAATAAAGTGTTACCGTTCATATTTTAGTTAAACGATTCAGTAAGGAAATTCATGATAAATGTTATGGAAAAACTCCTTAACAAATCTATAAAACAATGTAAAAGTATGTAAACTAGATACAAAAACAGCCTCTTGTTCTAAATAAATGGCATTAAAAATGATCTGTGAAGATTGAGGAATGTAGTGTTTAGTTCTGTGCTGTTATAAGTATTAATCTTGATGATGATGATTATTAGGTATATTCTTGGAGGAATGTCCTCCTGATCCTCTTAGAGTGACAGGTCCACGTGTCTGAACGCCAGCAGATGTTTTTATAGGTGTGCTGAAGGCGAAGGTCTTGACCCCGGCTGGCATTGACCTCTGTGGGATCAGTGCTGTTCTGGAATGTATTCAGGTTTGGTTTCTTCTGAATCTCTGAGCCCAGCGCTGACCTCCAGAGCTCTGTGTCTACCATGCATACAGACTTGTCCTCAAGGAGAATCACTACAGTTCTGGAATATGAGAGATCCATGATGATTTGCTGCTATTTCAGTGTAGGATAAAATGTTAAGTGTACAAAAAGGTAAATAGTTATTAATGAATAAATAGTCAACAATAAAAGTTGTTTAAGGAAATCTATGTGATTAATAGTATGAAATATAGTGAATTTTAAGTACGGTAGCTATTTTTTTTTACTTTTTGTAATCATATTTTGGTCTATTAATATTTATAACAAAAATATTAATTATATTTAATATTAATAATAACTGTAGAAGTAGGCTAATTAAAATCATTGACATATTTAAATAATAAATGACAAAAAGTATGAATAGTTTGGGGGAAAACGTATAAGAATAAAAAAAATAAGAATTAAAATAAGAAAATAATCTAAATATACTGTGAATAAATAGCAAATTAACATTAAGATGAATTAAAAAGGCAAACACATTATTTAAATGATTTTTTTTAAGTGACTATTTTGTTGTAATTTTTAAGAACATTATAAAATATTACTGTTGCGCTATTTATTATTTATGAACACAAAATGATTAATTAATTATTATTTGTTTGTCTTGCAGGTTAGCCGGCATAGGCATCTCAAATGTATTATAAGCAAACATTCTTTAGTAACCTTAAAAAAATGTTTGTGCTATGTAATCATTAAAATGTCTAATTGTAAACACAATTTTTGTAGTATTTTTATAATCTTATAACAAATGTTCAGAGAACATTGAAAAGTATGTGTTAAATTCTTAAATAGAATGTTGTCTCAGTCATGAAAGAACATTCAGAGAACATTCAAAAGTAGCATATCCATTCGTTGCTGAATTCTAAAATGTTTTTCCAACAATGAACATGCCGAGAACATTTGAAAGTAAATTCTTAATAGAACATTCTTTAGAAGATCAGAGAACAATCAATAACGGTCCCATAATGTTTGTTAGATTGTAAAATAGAACGTTCCCTCAATGATCAAAGAACATTCCAAGAACATGTATAAGTAGCATTCCCTTAATTTATATATTCTAAAATAGAATGTTCCTTCAACCTTATTAAATTCTAAAACTGAATATTCTTTCATTGATTTCAGAACATTCAGAAAATGTTTTAAAAAAAAATAACATAAGAAAATTAACAATTATAGAACGATCAATTGTTTTTATTAAATTCTAAAACAGACTCTTCCCCCACTGATCTCAGAACTTTTAAGAGAATATTCTAAGTAGCATTCCCGTAGTTTGCTTAATTCTAAAAGAGAATGTTCCCACATCAATGAAAGAACATTTAGAAAACATTCTCTCAACAATCAAAGAACATTCAAAAGTAACAGTACCATAATGTTATTATTAACTTCTAAAATAGAACCTTTCTTCATTGATCTCAGAACATTCAGAGAACATTCAAAAGCAACAGACTCATAAAGTTAGTAAAATTCTAAAATAGAATGTTCCCTTAATGACCAAAGAACATTCAAAAGTAACAATCCCATAATGTTTTTATTTAATTCTATAACAGAAATCTCCCTCATTGATCTCAGAACTTTCAGAAAACATTCAGAAGTAACGGGCTCATAATATTTGTTAAATTCTAAAAATAGAACATTCCCTTAATTATGAAAGAACATTCATAGAACATTCAAAAGCAGCATTATCGCGCTAATTTCTAACATAGAATGTTCCCTCAATGACTAACATTCTGAGAACATTTAAAAGAAGCATTCCTGTTGTTTGCTAAGTTCTAAAATAAAACGGTCCCTCAACAGTGAAAGAACATTTAAAGAACATTCCCTCAACGAGCAAGAACCTTCAAATGTAACACTCCTATAATGTTTTCATTAAATTCGAAAATAGAACGCTCCCTCAACAATGAAAGAACATTTAGAGAACATTCCCTTGACAATCACAGAACATTCAAAAGTAACAATCCCATAATGTTTTATTTAAATTTTAAAACAGAATGTTCCCTTATTGTTCTCAGAATGCTCAGAGAACATTCAAATGTAACCACCTCGTAGTACTGTATTTGTTACATTTCCTAAATGATCAAAGTACATACTGAGAACATTTAAAAGCAGCATTCTCGTTGTTTGCCAAATCATTATATAGAACATTCTCTCAACGTTGAAAAAACATTTAGAGAAAGTTCTAAAATAAATTCTAAATAGAACATTTCCTAAACAATCAAAGCATATTCAAAAGTAACAATCCCATAATGTTTTTACAAAATTCTAAAATAGAACGTTCCCTCATTGATCCCAGAACATTCAGAGAACATAAATAAACAGACGTGTAATATTTAGTAAATTCTAAAATAGAACATCCCCTCAATGATCAGAGAACATTCAAAAGTGGCATTCCTGTTGTTTGATGCATTCTAAAACAGAACGTTCCCTCAACAATGAAAGAACATTTAGAGAAATTCAAAAGTAACAATCCCATGTTTTTATTAAATTCTAAAACAGAACCTTCCCTCATTGATCTCAGAATGTTCACAGAACATTCAAAGGTAACAGACTCATAATATTTGGTAAATTTTAAAAAAAGAATGTTCCCTCAATGATCAAAGAACATTCCGAGAACATTCAAAAGTAGCGTTCTTGTTTGCCAAATCATTAAAGAGAACATTACCTCAACCTTAAAAACCTTTAGAGAACGTTCTAAAATAAATTCCATATGCAACATTCTTTTAACAATCAGAGAACAGTCAAAATTTAGAATTTATTAAATTCTGAAACAGAACGTTCCCTCATTGATCCAAGAACGTTCAGAGAACATAAAAAATAACAGACTTGTAATATTTAGTAAATTCTAAAATAGAGCATTCACTTAATGATCAAATAACATTCTGAGAACATTCAATCCCACACTAAATTCTAATATAGAATATTCCCTCAACGATGAAATCAAAACTAGAGAACGTTAGAAAGTAAATTCTAAATATGTGTTAAATTCTAAAACAGAACGTTTCCTCGATCAAAAGAATGTTCGGCGAGCCATCAAACGCAACAGTCTCATGGTAAATTCTAAAATAGAACGAATTGCATAAACGATCAAAGAACAATCAGAGAACATCTGTCAGCTCGGTCACTGGAACATTAAGGTATGTGGCTGTTTCTCAATGGTATATGAACGAGACAAAAATGCTTCCGTTACAAAATAATCTTGGTTTGACTCTGAAATCAGTGTCTTCTTGAATGATGCTCTCTGAAGTGACGCGGTAAATCAAGCGGAAATAACGACCTCTTCTCTCCGCTGCAAGTCATCCTGAAGGAGACCACAGAGAGCAGCTTCAGGTTGTCTTGAGTGTGTCTCATTCCTGTGAAAGGACATTCCCTCTTTAGTGTCCTGAGGGCTGGAGGATCTCAGTCTGCTCCTGTCATCTGCCTGCAAATCCAAGCATCCAGTAACTATCGGGCTCTTCGCACGCGCGCCAGCATGAGCTCACAGTAGAGTGTTTGCAACTTTTATACGTGTTTACTTCACTCCTTCAGTACAGACGATGAAGAACGTGGATTTATTACTTTCCTTAATCATTCTAGTTGATGGAATTAATGCAGTATCGCGTCTCGGGAAGGACCTGAAGCCGCACATGTGAGTAACTCTTTACTGTTCACTTTGGATCACTTTACACAATCATTTATTGTGCTCATGTTAATGTTTTTGGCATATGAATCTCATTGAAATACAAATATCATCGCGTCTACCGGTTTATTTATTGGCGCATAGACGCCGTACGGTTAAAAGGGAACGTTCTCAAAACACTCTGACAATGTTCTCTCAATGTTAAAGACAAACTAGGTTTGGTTGAAACATTCGCGATGCTAAAAACCATATTATTGATTCCTTTAGGTATTTTTTAAAAGTTTTTTTTTAATTATAGTCATTATTATCACACAACTATATTTCTGTTAAAAGTTATGAACAATTATTTTTTTCAATGTGTAATAATTGCTCGTTCGTTCTGAGTTGTCTGGGTTTTAAAGGGACCGCTCACCCAAGAAATGAAAAAGTCACCGTTTACTCATTCTCCACCTGTTCCAAACCAGGTTGAGTTTCTTTCTTGTATTGAACACAGCAGAAGATAAGCTGAAGATGCCTGGAAAAACAGCCATTGAATTCTATATCTGTGCCTATACTAGCCTATATGTATTCCACTGGCTGCTTTATTAAAGTTCCAACATTCTTCTAAATATCTTCTTTTGTTGTCTTCTTTTTATAAAAAATTATAAACATAAGAGTATAAGTAAATGATCTGCAAATTTAAATTTTAAGTGAATTGTCTTTTTAACTTTCTATCTATCTATCTATCTATCTATCTATCTATCTATCTATCTATCTATCTATCTATCTATCTATCTATCTATCTATCTATCTATCTATCTATCTATCTATCTATCTTTTACTTTTTTTCTTTCTTTCTTTCTTTCTTTCTTTCTTTCTTTCTTTCTTTCTTTCTTTCTTTCTTTCTTTTGCACTATTTAGGCATACTTACTTTTGAGTGCAATGGTAATTGTCTAATGTTGTGTGAACAATGTCCTCCCACCGTTATGAGAAAACATTTCCTCAGTACCATTAATAGATCATCCATTCACAGTTTCTAAATAAGTATAGCATTGTCTTAATAGAAATGTTAACAAAATGTTATTAGGATATACACTCACTGGCCACATTATTAGGTACACCTATCTAACTGCTCGTTAACGCAAGATTCTAATCAGCCAATCACATGGCAGCAACTCAGTGCATTTAGGCATGTAGACATGATCAAGACGATCTGCTACAGTTCAAACCCGAACATCAGAATGGGGAAGAAAGGGGATTTGAAGCGACTTTGAACATGGCATGGTTGATGGTGCCATACAGGCTGGTCTGAGTATTTGATAAATTGCTGATCTACGCAGATTCTCACACACAACCATCTCTAGGGTTTACAGAGAATGATCTGAAAAAGAGAAATTCTCCAGTGAACGGCAGTTCTGTGGGGTCAAATGCCTTGTTGATGCCAGAGGTCAGAGGAGAATGGCCAGACTGGTTTCTAGCTGATAGAAAGGAACAGTAACTCAAAATAAGCCAAACTGAGGCTACAATTCGCACAGGCACACCAAAATTGGACAATAGGAGATTGGAGAAATGTTGCCTGGTCTGATAAGTCTTTATTTCTGTTGCAACATTTTGAATTTGGCGTCAACAACATGACACAATGGATCCATCCTGCCTTGTGTCAACAGTTCATGCTACTGCTGGTGGTGGCGTAATACATATTTTCTTGTCACACTTTGGGCCCATTAGTACCAATTGAGCATCGTGTCAACACCACAGCCTACCTGAGTATTGTTGTTGACCATGTCCATCCCTTTATGACCACAGTGTACTCATCTTCTGATGGCTACTTCCAGCAGGATTACGCCCCATGTCATACAGTGCAAATCATCTCAGACTGGTTTCTTGAACATGACAATGAGTTCACCCTACTCAAAACTCCTCCACAGTCACCAGAACTCAATCCAATAGAGCACTTTTGGGATGTGGTGGAATGGGAGCTCCGCATCATGGATGTGCAGCCGACAAATTTGCTGCAACTGCCTGATGCTATCATGTCAATATGGAGCAAAATCTCTGAGGAATATTTCCAAAACCTTGTTGAAAGACTTAAAGCAGTTCTGAAGTCAAAACAGGGTCCAACCAGGTACTAGTAAGGTGTACCTAATAAAGTGGCCTGTGAGTTTATTTGGTTTACTGTATACACTCGTTGTTTAAAGCATTTCCAAAAGTAACATTGGGATAGTGTTTGCAGAATGATCAAATGTAACAGTTTTCTGAAATTTCATGTAACATTTCGACCAGTGCAATTATAAGCACATTTCATAACATTAGCAAAATAATGCATTTTTGTTTGACATACTGGTTTTAGCTTCCTCATTTCTTACCATGTTTTAGCTTAAAGGGACAGTTCACTCATTAAACGAAAATTTCATGAACATTTCTTCACACTCAAGTGGTTCCAAACGTTTATGAATTTCTTTCACCTGTTGAACACAAAGCACGATAGTCTGAAGAATGTTAGGGTGGCACGGTGGCTCAGTGGTTAGCACTGTCACCTCACAGCAAGAAGGTTGCTGGTTCAAGTCCTGAGTTTAGATGTTCTCCCCATGGGTTTCCTCCGGGTGCTCTGGTTTCCCCCACAGGTCAAACACATACACAAACTAAATTGGCCATAGTGGATGAGTGTGTGAGTGAATGAGAAAGTGTGTATGGCTGTTATCCAGCGCTGGGTTGCTGCAGGAAGGGTGTCCGCTGGGTGAAACATATGTTGGAATAGTTGGCAGTTCATTCCACTGTGGCAACCTCTGAAATAGCCGAAGGAAAATTAATGATTAAATGAATGTTAGGGGCAGAAAACAATCATTGACATTCATAGTATAGGAACAAAAATACTATGATAGTCAATATACTTTCTTTGTTTACAACAATAAAAAGAAGTTTAGGCAAGTTTGGAACTTGTGGATGATCATTAAAAATGACAATTTTTAATTTTTTGTGTGAACTGTCCCTTTAATATGATTGTTAGCAAAACATTTATTAAACATTAACATTTTTGCTATTAGCCTCCTGTATATTCAGCATATCTAAACTGATTTCGAAAGTGTTTATTATGCCACAAAAGTCTAGGTAGACATCTTATTGAGTATATAAACAGTGCGGTTTAATGCATTTCTTTCATTTAATTTATGACATGCTTTAATAAAACTGATTAACAGAAATGCCACAGCTTCACTTCCCTGTAATGTAATCCTCTGCCCATAATCCCAGTCCTGAGTACAATCGCCTGGAGCTTCACAGATGAAACATTTTTGCAGAGTGACTAATATATCAGTCTGGAAGCATAACCTGTGTAAATCATGTGTGTGTCTTGTCATCTGTTAGAGCATGAGATGATTAGGATGATTTATTGGCATTAACAATCACTATTGCACAACTTGACATAGAGCGTCTGAGTAACTGACAGTCTTACAGCGTGTTCTGCTGTCATTCCAGGTTTATTAAAACTGCATAAGTTTCAGCTGGTTGATGTGTGTGTGCTTGTGTGTGGATACATTATGAGGATACACATTTGTATTTTGACATGGGAATTACAGTGTTGAGGTGATTTATCAGGACATGCATTGTGTCCTTTAAAACTCTTTAAAATTATTATTATTGGTTTTTCACATATAAAATCGGAACAGTTTTCTTATAGGGGTCTGGTTTTAGGGGTGGATAAGGCCATGTTATAAGCATTTTCTTCAGTATAAAATACATTACGCCTACAGAGAGTCCTTTAAATCCCAAAAACCAATCTCTGTGTGTGTGTGTACGGGCTTTGGTGGTTTATAAGGACACAAAGCTGTATAATGATGTGAGTACGACCTAGGTATTACGATTTTGAGGTGGTTTATGAGGACATGCTTTGTGTCCTTGTAATTTAAAATGGTTTTAAATCATTATTAACAGTTTTTTTTACATTCACAATATTCCACAGGTTTCATTTGATTGGGTTTAGGGGCAGGTAAGGCCATATAATAAGCATTCTTTACAGTATAAAATACATTACGCCTATGGAGAGTGCTCATAAATCACACAAGCCAACCTGGGTGTATGTGTGTATGGGTTTTGGTGGTTTTAGAGGACACAAATTTATATAATGACATGAGTATGACCTACAAATTACAATATTGAGGTGTTTTACGAGGACATGTCATATGCCCTTGTAATTTAAAACTGTTTAAATTGTTATTATCAGGTTTTTTACATTCAAAATTTGCCACAGGTTTTATATGGTTGGGTTTAAGGGTGGGGTAAGGCAATATAACAAGCATTTATTAGAATAAAATTCATTACGCCTATGGAGAGTCCTCATAAACCACAACAGCCAACCTGCGTGTTTGTGTGTATGGGTTTTGATGGTTTATGAGGACACAAATTTGTATAATGACATGAGTATGACCTATAAATTACAATATCGAGGTGTTTTATGAGGACATGTCATATGTCCTTGTAATTTAAAACTGTTTTAATTGTTTTTATCAGGTTTTTTACATTCAAAATTTGCCACAGGTTTTACAGTATATGGTTGGGTTTAGGGGTGGGGTAAGGCAATATAACAAGCATTTATTAGAATAAAATTTATTACGCCTATGGAGAGTCCTCATAAACCACAATAGCCAACCTGCATGTTTGTGTGTATGGGTTTTGGTGGGTTTTAAGGACACAAATTTATATAATGACATGAGTATGACCTACAAATTACAATATCGAGGTGTTTTATTAGGACATGTCATATGTCCTTGTAATTTAAAACTGTTTTAATTGTTATTATCAGGTTTTTCATATTCAAACTTAGCCACAGGTTTCATGTGGTTGGGTTTAGGGGTGGGGTAAGGCAATATAACAAGCATTCTTTACAGTGTAAAATACATTATGGCTATGTGGAAGCCTCATAAAACACCAAAACCAACCTGCGTATGTGTGTGCAGGTTTTGGTGGTTTATGAGGACACAAATTTGTATAATGACATGAGTGTGACCTAAGTATTACGATGTTGAGGTGGTTTATGAGGACATGCCTTGTGTCCCTATAATTTAAAACTGTTTAAAATCACTATTAACAGGATTTTTCACATTCAAACAAAATTTGCCAGAAGTTTCATGTTGTTGAATTTAAGGGTGGGGTAAGGCCATGTAATAAGCATTTATTAGAATAAAATTCATTACGCCTATGGAGAGTCCTCATAAACCACAAAAGCCAACCAGCGTGTATGTGTGTTTGGGTTTTGGTGGTTTACGAGGACACAAATTCGTATAATGACTTGGGTATGACCTACAAATTACTATATTGAGATGGTTTATGAGGACATGCCTTGTGTCCTCGAAATGTTACATTTGCCACAGGTTTAGGGAATAGAATAAGCATTTTTTTGCTGTATAAAATAGATAACATCAATTGAGAGTCTGTATAAACCACCAAAACCAACGTGTGTGTATTTGTTTTATCTGCAGGCCGAATGTGTGTGCAGAGAAGGAGGTGAAGCTGGTGGCTCAGATGCAGCCGTGTGTTCAAGCCTTCACACGAATGGTTAAAGCATGGAAACAAGGTTGTCAGGGTCAGTCCTGGTGTGTGGGATACGAGAGGAGGTGAGTCTGAAATTCACACACTTAATTCTTTAATCAAACTCTGACAGGAATGAAAAAGGCTGAATGGAGCATACACTAACCTATGTATTATTATTCAGTCAGAAGGTGGTGCCAAACAGTCAAAAACAGCAGTATGATAGCTCAGTATGATAGCTCAGTTCATTGTGGTGTAATAGTCGCTGCTGAGAGTCCAAACATTGAAGAACAAATCCATCGGTGCGCAGCTCTACAGGTCCATGCAAGCCAGTGGTGACAAGGAAAAAAAGGAAAAAACTTCATCAATTGGCAAAAGTGAACAATTAAAAAACCTCAAGAGAAACCAGGCTCAGTTGGGCATGACCATTTCTCCACTGGCCAAACGTCTTGTGCAGAGCTGCAGTCTAGGTGCTGGAGGCTGGATGAAGCTGTACGTCAGCGAAGACTCGTCTGTCTCTGGAGCACCACAGAAATTAGTCTCAAGTTCTCCACTTCTCCATGACCACCACAGCAGCTGCTCAGGATACGGCCTGATCCAGGATTATGGGAACCTTGGGATCATCTCGTCGCGGGTCTTGAACCGCATCGGTGGCACTGCATAATCTCTGCGGGCCTCGGGAGGAGAATATAGAGAATAAAGAGAATAATTATTGTAGCTGCTGTTCGTAGTGTATATAAACGAGATGCAAAAACCTGCGTGGAGCACATTCATGCGTCATACCTTTACTATTACCGCTTTACTAAAAAGATAGGTCTTTAATCTAGATTGGAACTGCTAGAGCGTGCCTGAGCCTCGGACATTATCAGGAAGGCTATTTTAGAGTTTAGGCTATTTTAGAGTAATGAGTGGGAGTGAAAGTCACTTGTGCTTTATGGCCCGTTTCCACTGAGTGGTACGGTACGGTACGGTTTGGTTTGGTACGCTTTTATGGCCGTTTCCACTGTCAAAAGGCGTACCAAACCAAACCGTACCGTACCACTTTTTCGGGACCCTTTCGAAAGGGTCCCAAACTGCAGAAAAGGTCCCAAAAGGTGGAGCTACACGCGCAGCTGAACGCTATTGGTTTACAGAGATACGTCATTCATATCAAGTATTTATGTGTGTAAAGCATCTGTTTTTTGAGAAGTGCTTTTCATATGAAATGTGAGCGACCTGTGCTGCTTTATTGTAGACATTTTCTCGAGCAAAAATGATGTCTACTGAAACTTTGTCTTACACAACGCCCACCAAAAGGGTACCCTTGGTAGTGGAAACGCAAGCCTGATAAAGGTGACCGGTACCGACCCGAACCGTACCGTACTGTACCAGTCAGTGGAAACGAGCCATTACAGATTATGTTAAATGCTTCCAATGTGAGCTTAAATATAATTTTGCATGACATTTGTTGCCATAGTAGTGAAAGTAGCTGCTGATATCGTTAGTTCACGTCAGATCTTGAAAATAAAATAACCAGCAGACAGTTTGAAAATGAAAGTCATAACTGCAGACCAGTAACCGGCTAGTCAACTGATCGACTTTAATGCTTTGCAATGATGCTTATTGTTTGAAGTCTCCCAGACACACTGCGCAGATCACGTGATTTTTGACTAGAACTATAGCAGCTAGAGATGATCGGATCAGCTGAAATGACACCTGAATCCTCGACTTTATATTAATCATCCACCCGCCACCCGCCCACACATATAGTTTTATCTGATATATATATCCACACCCGATCATCACTTTAATAATTTAATTCTTTGTTTTAGGCATGATGATAGGTCAGTGTGGATATTAACAGCAGATTCAGTGAGCTTTAATCTGCGCATCTCTGATAGTAAAATTATACAACCCAAGCTCATTCTGGAAATGTATCCCCGCGGACGTTTCTGGAGACCGCAATTTACGTGGCTGTTTGGTTTTTTTCGAGCGAACGCTGCGGGGCGGTGTGGCGCCGCTCCGCCCTTCCTCTTCGCGCTCGCCGGCCGACGGCTCGCCTCCGAGTGGAGGGCTTTCCCGACGCAATTAATTTGTCCGCCTAGCTCACAGCGTTGCGTCGGCGGAGCGGAGGCCCCGGAGGAGGAGGAGCCAGAGCCGGCGCCGGCCGCGGTGGACGACGACCGGGATCGAGTCCGGGGAACGGCGGGTTCTGGAAATCAGGTAAGACGAAAAACGGAATCCGGAAAATACGGGCGAGAACGTGGCGGGATCCGAAAACGCGATCGAAATCGAAGACGGGGGCTTTTGCTTTTTTTTTTTTTTTTCCCCGATCCGGCGGCTTTTCGCGCGAGAATGGCGCCCGCCCGAGACGCGAAAAAGCGCGCACAGCGGCCTCTCGCGGATTCGCGAAAACAAAAAAAACGCTCGAATACGTACCTCCCGGGACGTAAATCGCGGTCCGCAGAAACGTCCGCGGGGCTACGTTTCAACAATGAGCCCGGGTTGAAATTATACGTTAATCGTAAACGTTTTTAAATGAACATTTATTTATAAAAACAAACGTTTGTCTTTAGACCACATTTTCTTTATTTTCAAGTAGATACAGCAAGTAAAAATAAGACATTTAAGCTTTTACAGATACAGGAACAAGATAACAAAAGGGTGCCACTTCAGCCTAAACGGCAGCTATGTTGTGTTTACCTGGCCTTTTTCTTCGCACTGTGCTAAAGCAGAACAGCCTCTACTGTGCCTGGATTCGGGCGAAACACGGCCAGCTGCACTTAATTAGTGCCTACCATTTCTTGTAGGAGACAACAAGATTCTCCTCGCTAGGTGCTGCACTGGCTGCAGTTGTGGAAATAAGCGATCTTGTTTCTTCTAGAACGATGGCAGATTTTCCTCTGATGACTACTCTAACTGAAAGTTTGAACAGTTCTCTTGCACTTCATCTGTTATTTTGGGCGTCTCATCTTCCCATTCTGCAATGCTCACTCTCTGCTTTTTCGCTGGTCCAGTGCCATGTCCCGCTAGATCCACCCGCAGCCCACCCGCAATTAATTATAATGTATTTTTTTATTACCCAACCCACCCGACCCGCGGATTATCCACAGCACCCATGGATATAACCGCCATCCACGAATAACTAATAGCAGCCTTACACATGAATGTAGGTTCACTGAATGAAACTGCCCATAGATTATTGTGATTAATTTAATTGTTGTTTTTCAGTACATGAAATAGTTCAATTTCCTGAAGCCCAACACCTGCATTACACTTTTTTTGTGTGTCTTGGGGGGGGGGGCCAAAATGCCTTTACATGTTAATGGTGTACAGAATCGACTTTCTCAATGTGAGCAGTTTCAGTGTTCACATCAGAAACATCTAAGAAAAGCCTCGTTTTTTTCCTCATGCCTAATCTTTGTTCTGTAATCAGACTCTTTTAAGCGTAAGGTGTAGTTACACTCCTGACGAAAGCAGCAATTTGAAAGGCATCCAGAGGGTCTCGCATACCTTCAGTGTATAGGGGTAAACGCCCTGAAATCAGGCTTTGACGCACCGGATCGTTTTCCTCCGTATACTTAGCAAGTAAAAAGACCCGGGCCCTGCAATTAAGCGCTATAAACAAAGAGCACAGGGTTACGACTCCGGAGCCGAAGAGCAGGACCGTAAACTACAGGGAGCCAGAAACTCACATTTGCATCATGAAAGGCTGGATGAGAGAGAAGCGCTGCTGATTACAGTGCTCTTGTGTTTGTGTTTTCACACACTGAAGCTTATGCACTATAGTCATGAGCTGATCTCTCTCATGCTCTGACTAAACACAGAAACACACCGAAAGCCCTTTATTAGCTCATAGAGAACAATGATCAATGCTAAGAGCGACTGATGACAGACTCACTGTGCATGTTTACTTATGAAGTAAGTTAAAGGTTTTAATGTTTACCTGTGCACTTCTTTGCACATAAAATGCGCTGAAACAACACAATTCTTAAGCTCTTTTGGTGGCACGATGGCTCAGTGGTGGGTCAGTTGGCATTTCTGTGTGGAGTTTGCATGTTCTCCCTGTGTTGGTGTGGGTTTCCTCCGGGTACTCCGGTTTTTCCCCGTCCAAACACATGAGCTATAGGGGAATTTAATTAGCTAAATTGGTTTTAGTGTATGAGTGTGTGTGTGAATGTGAGTGTGTATGGGTGTTTCCCATTACTGGGTTGCAGCTGGAAGGGCATCCACTGCGTAGAAGTGGTATACTAGTTTCTTTTATAGCGGTTATAGTATTCAACTAATTCGTTTGTGGTGTTTAATTGACTTTTTTGGTGCAAATTAGGAGCAAATTAAGATTTGTGAAAGAAAATTCACTGTGCAATTAAAGCTGCAAGCAATGATGAAAGGGACCTCGCACCCGGGCCACCGCCTCCTGGTGGCTTCAGGATTACAGAGAAGAGCAAACAATATTAATTTAAGCCGATATATTTTTAAAAACCTGAGAAAATCACAGATTTATGCCAAACTTCCTTCTGTCAGCAGGTGGCGCTATGACTGTGATTCAATATTGGCATGTAGATGTAATTTAATTAACCATGTGAAGTTTCAGGCAGATCAAATATTGTGTGATTGAGTTATAAGTACTTCCTGTTCCATGTCGAAGCACTGTGGTTTGTCAGGGTGCCTTGGACACACCCTTCTGCGATCTTCACAATATATCATCGCTAGAGCTTTCAGATAACACCAACCAAATTTGGTGCTGATACGCTAAAATTTGTGGGAGGAGTTTACAGTGTAAAACATGTCCTGTTGCCAGCAGGTGGCGCTATAACTGTAACGGGATATTGGCATGTAAACGTGTTCAGGTCAGGACTGTTATCAAACATGTAAATTTTGAAGCAGATCAGGCAATGCATGCCTGAGTTATAACAACTTCCTGTTTCGTGGCGAATCGTCAAAGTTTGTGAGGCCGCCACGGACACGCCCATCGACAAAAACTCTAAATCTTCGCAATTAACATAGTTTGAGATATCGCTCTAAGATACTATTTTTTGTAGGGTTTGACATGTTTGACGTGTGTGCCAATTTTCGTATCTGTGCATGATTGGTAGCTCGGGGGCTAGTCCGTCTAATGTTTATAAGTGGCGCTGTTGAGTCATTTTGCCACGCTCACCTCCGAAACCTATATCAACCGATTATTTACAACGCGTCTGATGTGTGTGCAAAGTTTCATGAGTGTTCAAGCATGTTTAGACCCTCAAAAGTGCCCGATTTGGGGCGTAATAATAATAATAATAATAATAATAATAATAATAATGATAATAATAATGATAATAATAATGATAATAATAATAATAATAATAATAATGATAATAATAATGATAATAATAATAATAATAATAATAATGATAATAATAATGATAATAATAATAATAATAATAATAATAATGATAATAATAATTATAATAATAATAATAAGGGGGTGATGCAGTGGCGCAGTAGGTAGTGCTGTCGCCTCACAGCTAGAAGGTCGCTGGGTCGCTGGTGCAATCCTCGGCTCAGTTGGTGTTTCTGTGTGGAGTTTGCATGTTCTCCCTGCGTTCGTGTGGGTTTCCTCCGGGTTTCCCCTCACAGTCCAAAGACATGTGGTACAGGTGAATTGGGTAGGCTAAATTGCCCGTAGTGTATGTGTGTGTGTGTGAGTGTGTGTGGATGATTCCCAGAGATGCGTTGCGGCTGGAAGGGCATCTGCTGTGTTAAAATGTACTGGATAAGTTGGCGGTTCATTCTGCTGTGGCAACCCCGGATTAATAAAGGGACTAAGCAGACAAGAAAATGAATGAGTAATAATAATAATAATAATAATAATAATAATAATAAACAGAGCAATTTTAATCCGTTTCGGTGCTCGGTCCCTAACTGAGAAAAATCCTAGTGGATTTTTTTTAGAGGTCTCCAACATATAAACAACAATGATTTTAGGTTAGTTTTAGAAATGTAAAATAACCCCAATTTGCATTGAATGTTGACCTTTTGACCTTTTGGTAAGATTTATGGCATTCATTGTTTTACACATTCTGTCTGTGAGTGTGTTGGACAATCAAAATAGAAAGACACTAAAGTGTTCTGCCTTTTCTCTCTCCACAGAACAGCTTATTATACTGCATACAGACAGGTGTATCGACAGGAACAGCAGACGGTTTACAAGTGTTGTCCAGGATGGTCACAGCTCAACGGAGAGGCCGGATGCCTGTACCGTACGTCTCCTTTTACACTTTATACACTATTAACTATACCCTTAAAACCAGTTAAACTCCGCGGACCCGGAACCGGGTCTGTGACGTAATTGACTTTCGCTTTAGGATTTAAAGGGCCAGCATTGCACCAGACCCCCTTAAGTGGTTTCGTTTGAAAGTGTAGAATTTATATTTTATGCACATATGCATCACTTTGGTTTTTATTTTACTGTACAAAAGTTATTTACACTTAAATACACAGTATTTCAGATACCCGAGCTGGGTATTTTACATTGGTTCATTTTCATATGGTTCATATATGACACATGTACAAGTTATAGCTCAAATGAAAGCTCTTGCCAGTGCTTATATGGTTCTAGAATTCTTTTTACTGAATTATATTCACATTTCAAACAGTTGTTGAATGAATCACAGTGTTTCCTTGGCACAGAAGTGAAAACAAGACATTTATGATCAATAAGCAGCCCCAGATAGCACAGACAGCTGTCATCTCTTACCTTATGCTGTGCACTTCAGGGCCATTCTCCGCTATTTTTGAGGTGATGTATATAAGTAATTCTTTTAAATGTCTGATGTGGTCCAAACACAGTGAATTATGTTTGATCAAACAAAAGAATAGTGAAATATGAAAACAATGATCAAAAAATCAGTAGCAAAATATAGTCATCCTGGAACAAATATGTCACAACATCTCCAATTTACAGGGGACCTATTATGAAAAAATCACTTTTATAAGGGGTTTAAACACAGTTGTGTGGCAGTACTGTGTGAATATAACCAGCCTCTAATAATAACAATGTATGAATTAAATTTTTTATAATCACACTTGATTAAAACAGTCTGCAGAAACACGTTGATTGACATTCTCCATTTGTACTTGTCGTCAGAGTGGGAAAGTTCTGCCCACTAGTGACCATCTCTCCCTTATCAACATAGGACATTGATTTTGAATCTGCAACTATGCTGACACATAGACATTTGTAGCTCCGCCCTCTTTTGAAAAAGAGTACAATCTCATTTGAATTTAAAGCGACAGTCCAATCAATTTCCAACAAACACAATCAAGTTTTGCCTTTTGTCATACATTGTTCTGATTATATGGCCAATTTAAGCATGACAATGTCAAATGTCCATAATCATGATGATTTAAAGTCCATTTTTGGACTTTTAATCCTAGTAAGTCCTGATTATGCTTCTAAAGAGGTGTTTAGAGATACACGTGGAGTCGGTCATAGTGATTTATAGTTCTAATTCAGAGTAATTAAGTTCATTTCAGTGTAAACGTGTCCAGATTATACATTAGAATGTGCTTGAACACCTTCATGTGTCTAAATTTGTAGTTGTTAAGCCAGGAGGAACTAGTCACACATTACATAATTGGCTTTCATAACTAAGAAAAGCACAGTGGAGTTAGGGAAATGAGTGTTATGATTTGCTGTATTCCTCTTGGCTCTGGGTTTTCGTATGGATTTGAATGGAGTCAGTGTGTTGTGATGACTTACCAGGGTAAAAGTCAAGTTAGAAGTTAATGCTTTTATTCAGCAGGGATGCATTAATTTAATCAAAATCACTTGCAATTAGTTTAATCCGCTTTATTACGCTTCGGTTTCAAACAAATGAAGTTCTTTCGCACTTTCACCCTGACTGCATCTTTATTCTCCCGCTAATGTAGATGCTTGACTGAAGCAGCTGATATTCTTTTACACTGAGGAAGGGCAGAGGGTTACCGAAGAACTATTCAATTCAATTCATCTTTATTTCTATAGGGCTTTTACAATGTTGATCACAGGTGTCAATTCCAGTTCTGGGAGGACCGCAGCTCTGCACACTTTAGTTCTAACCCTGCTCCAACACACCTGTAGGTTTTAAACACGAACTCGATTAAATTGATCAGGTGTGTTTAATGAAGGTTGAAACTAAACTGTGCAGAGCTGCGGCCCTCCAGGAACTGGAATTGACACCTGTGATGTAGATTGTGTCAAAGCAGCTTCACATAGAAGATTATAGTGAATTAAAATAGTGTAGTTCAGTGTTTAAGTTCAGTTCAGTTTAGATAGGTTAAGTTCAGTGTGGTTTAATATTCACTGCTGAGAGTCCAAACACCGAAGAGCAAATCCATTGATGCGCAGCTCCACAAGTCCACAAACGGCGAGGAAATAACTTCCCCAATTGCAGAAAGTGAAGGATAAAAAAGCTCAAGAGAAACCAGGCTCACTTGGGCATGACCATTTCTCCTATGGCCAAACTTCTTGTGCAGAGCTGCAGTCTATATGCCAGAGGCTGGAGAACGCTGGACATCAGTGAAGACTCTGCTGTTCCTGGGGTCTCACAGGAATCAGTCTCACGCTCTCCACTCCTCCACGACCACCACAGCAGCTGCTCAGGATACGGCCTGGTCCAGGATTATGGAAACCTTGGGATCATCTCTTCACAGGTCTTGAATCGCTTCAGCGGCACTGCATAATCTCTGGGGGCCTCAGGATGAGTATCCCTAGGGGGAAATAGAGAATAAAGAGAATAATCAGCATAGCGGCTGTTCATAGTGTATGTAAACAGGATGTGTGGAGCATGTGTGGAGCATTCATGCATCATACCACTATGCGATGCATTGTGTGTACGCTTTACTAAACAGATAGGTCTTTAATCTAGTTTTGATCTGCGAAAGTGTGTCTGAGCCTCGGACATTATCAGGAAGGCTATTCCAGAGTTTAGGAGCCATAAATGAGAAGGCTCAACCTCCTTTAGTGGACTTTGCTATTCTAGGTACTACCAGAAGCCCTGAGTTTTGAGATCTTAAAGAGCGGGTTGGATTGTAGCGAGAAAGAAGGTTGGTTAGATAAACAGTTGGTATATTATTTAAAGCTTCATAGGTAAGAAGCAATAATTAATAATCAATATAAAACTTAACAGGCAGCCAGTGTAAGGAGGATAAAATTGGAGTGATATGATCATGTTTTCCAGACCTGGTAAGACCTCTGGCAGCTGCATTTTGTACTTCCTGAAGTTTGTTAATAGAGGATGCTGGGCAGCCAGCAAACAGAGCAATACATAATACATAAATAAGATTTCAGCTGCTGTCTGGGCTTTCACTGCTGAACTCCACCTCCCTTTCTTCATGTGTTCAATAATTTTACCCTGCGTCATTTCATTTTATTACACATAGCTTCATTTGGAAACTAATTAGATTTGTTTTCTTTCCATATATAAATTTCCTTGGTTGCTATCAACATACAGTGAAAATGTCCTTAAAAGACTTTAGTAAATCCAAGGAATCATTTATTTCAGTGCAGGGATCCTGATGTAGCACTTACCACACAAATTCCACATCACATTTTAATATTTAGACTTAGTGGTTTGTTCAAGCTATTGTTATAGTTAACAAAGGCCTGATCCGTCTTTGTCTGAACTGTTTGTTTAGTTTAGCGAAGCGCTGATCAGTAATTGGATTTCAGCCGTTTGTTCGTCTGCTCTACTCATGTTTATTGTTCTGCTCTGAAGAGAAGCTCCTCTAATAGTTTGACTGCTGAGACTTTGGTTTGTCTTTTGAGGAGTTTGACTGCGCTAAACGGACCAGGCGACAATCTCTTAAGAGGGTTTTAGAGGACAGCTGTAGTCTGCATACTTCCGCAAGTGGAGGATAGTAGCTATGAACACTAGTGAGGGTAGATGGCCAGTTTAATTTTACGTGAGTGAATGAATGAATGAATGTGAGGATGTGAGAGCTTGCAAACACACGCAAAACGCATAAATAAACACAAAACAATTATTGATATGTATTTGATTCATTTACATATTTTAAAAAGCCACTTCTAGTTTCTATGAATTCATTTGTATTAAAATGTATCTTGCAAAGTATCCTGTTAATATTTATAATAATAATAATAATAATAATAATAATCATCATCTTTTTTAAAAAGTCAATTCTAGTTTCTATAAAATCATTGGTATTAAAAACATAAATCCTGTTACTAAAACATCTTTAATAGTTTACTTTATTCTATTATTTAAAAGGTGTTTCTTAAATATTATATAATATGATTAATAATATATAATATATAATTAATAATAATAATATTAATAATAATAATAAGAAGAATATTTGAAAGGCCATTAGTTTCTATTAATTCATTTGCATTAAAAAGCATGAATCTTGTTACTAAAATGTCTTTAATAAAAATGTATTTATTTTATTGTTTATCTTAGAGTTGTTTCTTTAATATTATAATAATTATTATATCACAATATTTAAAAAGCCATCTCTGTAGTTTCTATAAAATCGTTTGTATTAAAAACGTTTCAAAATTCCTAAGGTGTCACAGTGGCGCAGCAAGAAGGTCGCTGGTCAGAGCCTCGGCGGGGTCAGTTGGCATTTCTGTGTGGAGTTTGCATGTTCTCCCTGTGTTGGCGTGGGTTTCCTCTGCGTTCTCTGGTTTCCCCCACAGTCCAAAGACGTGTGGTAAAGATGAATTGGGTAAACTAAATTGTATGAGTGTGAATGTTTCCCAGTCATGGGTTGCAGCTGGAAGGGCATCTGCTGCGTAAAACATATGTTGGAAAAGTTGGTGGTTCATTCCGCTGTGGCAACGCCAGAATAATAAAGGGACTAAGCTGAAAAGTAAATGAATGAATGAATAAATTATTATTATTATAATAATTTTTGTATTTATATTTATAACTAATATATATTTATATTTAATATTCCTTTACCAATATTTAAATTAGTTTTGTATCGTAGTGGTAGTTAGTTTATTAAAATATCATAATATTTATATTTATGTATTCAAATATGACTTTTTATATGTTGTAAATTAGCAAAAAATGTTATTTGAATATTCATTTACTTATTATAATTTGTTTATGAATGCAAATTATTAAAATGAGTAAATGAAATTACAATATTGCAAACTATTTTGATAATATTGACAATATTATTCATATGAATAATATCATTATCGATAATAATTACAATATTTTTATAAATCAACTGTACATTTTTATTTGAGATCTTTTTAAATCATATTTTTTCTTGATTTTAATACTTAAAGGGATCTTGAGGAGAATTATTGATATAATGAATATATAATGCTGCTGTTTCTCTAATCTGGTTGTAAGACTGTCAATGACTGAATAAATTGATAGAAATTGTTTATTATAATAATTATAATAAATTAATTATTTTTTAATCAAAAATAGATTGATAAAGAAAGCAAAAACAAATCTTCTGTACATGTCTTGGAAATCAAACAGTGAAACGTGTTGATGTGGTCAGGAACTGCAGACACATGTAAAATGATAAACATGACAGTGTGTGATTCAGTACAGCATAAACATCAGCAAACGCTTCATTTACTGTATTTACAGTCTGTGGCTTTGATTTCCAAAATGTTGACTGCGTTTTGATGATTTCCTGCTTTCGAAAGCCAATAATTCACCTCATTTAACAAATAGTGGATTCCACACAATAACATGCAAACTCTGTGTGGAGTTTGCATGTTCTTCCTGTGTTGGTGTGGATTTCCTCTGGGTGCTCCAGTTTACCCCACAGTCCAAACACATGCGCTATAGGGGAATTGAAGAAATTGGCCATAGTGTATGAGTGTGTGTGAATGAGAGTGTATGAGTGTTTCCCAGTACTAGGTTGCAGCTGGAAGTGCATCCGCTGCACAAAACATATGAAAAATGAATGAATGAATATTTTATAATAATATATAATAATTAAACAATTGTGTATTTTTAAAGTCTTACATGTTTATATTAGCATGTTTGTTCCTGCCTGTTTGTCTGAAACTAATGTTCAGTGTTTTTTTTGGGGGGGGGGTGGGGGGTTAATTTTAATTTGCAATACATGACACAACTGGAACCCATAAAACACACACATGAAGGTTTAATTCTGTAAGGCTTGTTGACTGGGATGTTTCTCATTAAGTCTAAATATCTGCAGAACTTCATCAGTTTACTGCCGGCTCTTTCTGGCTTCACCAAAATTACCTTTTTTTTTCTTGAGGAAAACCAATTGACTTTTAATTGTTTTATATTAAAGTGCTCTTGAAGACTTCCTTCCACTTGAACACAACAGACACTTGACAATCCTCATCCAAAAGTGTCCAGAACTGACCTCTAGAACAACAGCAGTGACTAAAGCAGTAAATGTAAATGTATGTTCTGGGTGGTCTATCCAAATCACCAACAATGGCTGCAGTTAAAAAGACTGATTGTCCATCACAGTGGTAGAAATGACCTGTGTGGTATAATATTTTATTTTTAAACGGATTTATTTTCATTTGATCATTTATTTTATCAGATTAAGTTTGAATTAATTTTTTCTGAACACATTTATTTTTCGATAATTTTACATTTTATTTTATTTTAATATTTTTATTTTTATTTATTTTTATTTTTAATGCTTAAATTTTTTTTTCCTCTGTAATTTTTTATTTTATTATTTTTTAAATACATTTATTTAATTTTTTGTTATTTTTATTTTATTTTGTTACACATTTATTATTATGTTTATTTGACATTTTATTTGTTTATTTGTTTTTTTACTTACTTTTAATTTCTGAACACATTTATTTTTGATAATTTAAAATTTCATTTTATTTTATACATTTTTATTTATTTTTGATTTTATAAACACATTTTTTTTCTAATTAAAATTTTCATTTTATTAGTTTTTGTTTTACTTTTTTATTTCTGAACCCATCTATGTTTTTTATAAGTTTACATTTTATATTATATACTTTTAATGTTTTTAAGTTACTTTTATTTCTGAACACATTTTTTTAATAAGTCCAAATTGAATTAAATTTAATATTATTAGTTAAAATTAAATTAAATATTATTATTTTGTTTTATTGTATTTAATTTTTGAATGTTTATTTTTTGATCGTTTTACATTTTATTTTTAATTTAATTTAATTTAATTTAATTTAATTTAATTTAATTTAATTTAATTTAATTTAATTTAATTTGAAAAACTTAGTTTTTATTTTGTTGTATTTTTTAACACTTTTGTTTAGTTTTGTTTTCAATGCTCATTTAAATGGTCATGCTAAGTTATTTTTTCATTAGATTTTTGAACCAATTAATTTTTTTTAAAAAATTTAACATTAAATTTAATTAACATTTTTAATTTAATTTAATTTAATTTAATTTAATTTAATTTAATTTAATTTAATTTAATTTAATTTAATTTAATTTAATTTAATTTAATTTAATTTAATTTAACACACAATTCAGATTTTAATTAATCTATTTTGTGTCTTGTGTCCTCCAGCGGTCTGCAGGTCTGGTGTGTGTTTTAATGGCGGTCAGTGTAAAGAAGGTTCCGCTCAGCTCTGTGTGTGTCCAGCAGGATTCAGCGGCCCCAGCTGCCAATATGGTAAGATAATACGGTACATTTTTTTCCCTTCCACTGTATATCAGCTGATATGCATTTCTTATACTGTATATTTTATTTTTTTCATGTGTAAACACCACTCAAGAAAATACACTCAAAACATGACATTTGCTGTTTGTTTAAATTATATATTTAATGAGCTCAAACAATTTAATTGTTTTATGTTCAATCTACTTTGTAAAAAATAATAAGGTAACTTCATGTTGTTTAACACAAATCGATTGTGTAGAAAGCAGTATTTTTGGAGTGTTTATAATACATATATAAATATAAAGAGTATTTAAAATGATTTTTTGGTTTAATAATATTTGTAACATTGAGTTTCCCCTCAGCGGAGTGTTTTTTCTGGGTCTGTTAAAGTCTGTAATGCATTAAAAGTCAAGAATGTGATCTGTATTTTGAGTGGTTGGCGGTGAGAGAGGATGCTAATAATGGAGGATGTTGTTTTTAGCTGATAATCTGCACACCGCAGGAAATTCTTGGCCAATCTTGTCCTACTTTTGGATTTTTTTTTGTGTGTGTGTGTTACAGAAATTGGCAAACTGCAATGTGTGCAAGTAGAATAAGTTATACAAGTGTTATATTTGTTCTCAAATATAAATGATGTGCGCTTATTGTTTTATACATGCTTTAAATCTATTTGTTTATTTAAAGACAAAGATATTTTATTTATTTTATTTATTTTTTGTGTATTTATTTTATTTTATGTGTGAAATATACAGTGCTCAGCATATATGAGTACATCTCTCACAGATCTCTCATTCAAATTAACATTTTCTGTTGGATGCTTTACAATATTATATTTGTGCATATACATTAGTTTAGTTAATACTGAAGCCAAATCTAGAGCTCATCTAACAAAATAATTAATGATAACAGTCCAAAACATAGTAGCCCAAATGTGTATGTTAGGGAAAAATATAAAATAAATATGTAAAAAAGAGGAAAAATCAAGAAAAGCAAAGAATATATATAATTTTGTTGAAATATTTTTGTAAATATTAATTGTCAAATTGTGGTGTGCTCATTTATGAGCAGTATATAAATGTTATTCCTATTGAATCAGATTATTAGATAATAAATGATTAATTTTAATTGTAAAAAGATAATAAAATCAATGAAACTTGACAAAAAATCATATAAATTTTTGTAAATGACAGGGCGCATCTGCATATTTTTATTAGCCCATTATTTAGTGCATTTTTTGTAATTATCTTTTATTTCTGAACACATTTATTTTTTGATCTTTTAAATTTTCATTTAATTTTATTCTTTTTTTCTTTCTTTTTGAAAAATATTAATTATTTTTATTTTATTTTACAACTTATATTATTTTATCTTACCACTTTCAGAACCCATTTATATTTTGATAATTTTATTTATTTTTTTATTTTTAATTTACGTATATTTATTTATATTCAGTTTCGTTTATTTCTATTTTATAAATGTGTGTAAATATGTATTCATTTAGTTTTCATATTAGGCAAATGATTTATTTATTTCTTGTGTAAATCCACCAGAGGCCGCTGTCGACTCACTGACTGACCGATCCCCCCACCCTCCTCCTTCCCTAAACCCAACCAATAATGTTTTCAAAAGCACCGTTTGACCAGTGCCCACTCACTTCCCTTAAAAAATTTTTTTTAATCTCCCAAAACAATTCCATATAAATTCACATATTTGCTTTAAAATTCCACACAGAAATATTAAATAGTTCTGTCTGGCCCTATAATAATTAATAACCCAATATAAAAAAGTGTAAATGCTAAAGTATAAAAGTTCAGACGTGTTTTGTTGACAGTGAAGAATGTGGCTGTTTGAGCAGAAGTGTTGGGTCATGTTCACTGTGTGGGTCAAATGGAGGATCTGCTGGTGTTAATGGAGCAGGACGGTCAGAGTTGTCTGTTTTACAGAGTTATGAATGGACATCTGACCGACAAGACCCAGAGTTATAAATACTGAGCTGTCAGGGAGTTCAGCTGAGGTCACAGACCAGATTACAATATTTGGTTGCCAGAATGTTCCCAGAATGTTTTCTGTTGGTTGGCCGGAAATGTTGGAATGTTGGAATGGAAAGTGGAATGTTCGCTGTAAGTTAGAAGAACATTCAATTAAATAATGGCGACCCCAAATTAATAAAGGGACTAAGCCGAAAAGAAAATGATTAAATTAAATTAAAATAATTAAATTAAATTAAATTAAATTAAATTAAATTAAATTAAATTAAATTAAATTAAATTAAATTAAATTAAATTAAATTAAATTAAATTAAATTCTGCTCTAGTTTCCCCCACTAGTTCAAAGACATGCTGTATAGGTGAATTGAGTAAGCTAAATTGGCCGTAGTGTGTGTGTGAATGCAAGGTTGTATGGATGTTTCTTTGTGTTGGGTTGCAGCTGGAAGGGCATCTGCTGTGTAAAACAAATGCTGGAAAAGTTGGCGGTTCATTCTGCTGTGGTGACCCCTGATAAATAAAGGGACTAAGCTGAAAAGAAAATGAATGAATGAAATTAAACAAAATAAAAATAAATCAAATTAAATAAAAATAATCTAAAATGTAATTTAGTGATAAATTAATACATTAAAATCATTTAAAATAAATAAAAAATAGTTAAAATAAAAAATGATAAATAATAAATAAAAATGCATAAAATAAAAGGTAAACTAATATAAATATTTATGTATAAATGTATTTATTTTCATATGTTTTACTATTTTTATTTCTTATTGATTCTTGTTTTTTTTATTTATTATTTCATTGTATATATATATATATATATATATATATATATATATATATATATATATATATATATATATATATATATATATATATTATTTTTAATAATATATACACACACACACACACACACACAAACACACACACATACAAAATTAACTAATAAATAAATAAACAAGAATCGATAAGAAATAAAAATAGTAAAACATATAAAAAATAAATAAATGCAAAACAATTAAAAATATATCAAATAATTAAAATTGATAAAATAAATAAATAAATAAATAAATAAATAAATAAATAAAATGAATGAATCAATCAATCAAATTGTGTATTGGGTTTGGAAAACTAATACAACCTTAAAGTAGAAAACAAAATCATGTCAAATTCAATAGTGACCAAAATCTGTTTTCTGGTTATTTTGTGCTCTAAGATATCTCATATGCTTTCTGAGATATCTCATATGCTTTTCATATCACCATGATCAGATGCTTTCTGAACCGCTGTTTTCTCATGTTTATTGTGTGTTTATTTTGATAAGAGGAAAGAGCGCAGCATATATTTGCACTATATACATGTCGCCGTCTGGATTCTTGGATCACTCTTTCATTGCTTTTTACTTATAATCTAGTATTGGGACTCTTGGGACTTGATAGGCACATGTTTATCAGGAGTTTAGCACACATAGAGAGCAGGAAATATGCCGGAGAGATTAATATTGCTGAGTAGGGTCTGGGAATGCAGCGGTGATGACAGATTGTTTGTGGAAATGAACGGTTGATGTTCTCGACTCTTGTAAGTTGTGCAATGAATTGTCTGAAGATTATCTGCATGGACACTAAAACTGCAGTTGGATTTACTGAGCCTAATGTTTATGATAAAATAGCATGATGGATTCTTTCTTTTACAGTTTATATATATTAAAATGTTTATAATTATATGCATTGTTATATATATTATATATTAATTTAGTTTTTTTAATATAATATTTATTTAACAATATTTAATTTGGGGCTGCGTGGTGGTGCAGTGGGTAGCGCTGTCGCCTCACAGCAAGAAGGTCGCTGGTTTGAGCCTCGGCTGGGCCAGTTGGCATTTTTGTGTGGAGTTTGCATGTTCTCGCCGTGTTGGCGTGGGTTTCCTCCGGGTGCTCCAAAGACATGCGCTGTAGGTGAATTGGGTAAGCTAAATTGTGTGTAGTCTATGTGTGTGTGAGAATGGAAGTGTATGGGTGTTTCCCAGTGATGGGTTGCAGTTGGAAGGGCATCCGCTGTGTAAAACATATGCTGAATGAATGAATGAATATTTATTTGTATTTAATAATATTTACTATAAAGTATTTTACATATATTTTGTTTCAGTTAATGTGTATATATTGTCGGTTGGCTCTATGTTGGTTCTGGCTCTGGTTAGCAGATATAACAGGTAATCAGTGGTTTTAGCAGTAACTCATCCACACTTCCGGATAATGCAGTTTCTCATGCTCACGTGTGTATTTTACAAGTTTCTTGCTGTGAAACATGTGTTTAACATCACACACACTCCATCTGGACAAGGGCATTTTCACAGTATTTCCCAATGTTTTTTTCTTCTGGAGAAAGTCTTATTTGTTTTATTTCGGCTAGAATAAAAGCAGCTTTTAATTTTTTAAAAAGCATTTTAAGGTCAATATTAACCCCCTTAAGCTAAATTTGTTTTGGATAGTCTACCGCAGTGGTTCTCAAAGTGGGGGTCAGGACCCCCGAGGGGTCGCAGGACAATGAAGGGGGGTCGCCTAGTGATTTCCAAAAATCTATTTATTTTTATTAAACCATAAGAATTACCATATTTTATCCATAACCTACTGAGGAGAAAAAAATCGTTTATAGTTACTATAGTAGCCTATAGTTACTAGTTCTATTGGTTTGCGACCCCTGGGGTAATTACATTATATTATCAGACATACTGTGAAAATTTCCTTGGTCTGTTAAACATCATTTGGAAAATATTTATATATTTGTATATGTACAATATGCATAATGCTTATGTCAAAATATTACTCTTTACTATAAATTACTTATACTTATAGTATTTAAATGTGTAACAGCTGCTTTTATTGTATTTTTTGTTTGTGCTGTATACTATAATGTGTTTCTGTTTAGTACAGCATATTATTTACAGTAAATAACTGAACTGAACTATTCTGCCTCATATGTTTCATTGACAGTTTTATTGATCACTAAGATAGAATTGACTTGGATT